ACGTTGCCCAGGCACCGGATGAACTCTCCTTGGAGGTAAGCAGTTAAGGGCGTTCCTAGTTGTCATGTACAGAAGAGTATAAGGCGTGAACACATCAGGAATATTCTCTGACACCTTCCGAGTGTTTGGTGAGGTGAAGGCCAGAAGATGCGGTTCCAGATTAGACTTGCACTGGGTTGGATGCAGGGAGGAGTTCAGCCATCTCTAAACTATGGCTCTATTTGGCATTGGAATCTTCTGATCAAAGAGCTACTGCCCAGTGTGGTAGCCTGGTCTCTGAGCAATGGCAGACCAGTGTATGGAGTGTGCAGATCTGTTCAGGATCTGTTCCGCTGACTTATGCCTGCGGTTTAATTGGAGCTCTCCCTTTGGCAAAGAGCCTGCTGCTTTTGAGAACCATTTCATACTGAACAGCTGAATTCTGTATGTTGTGTATTGTAGTGACTCTTCTACCTCCACGTTCAGTTGTACGACTGCAAATGCCTTAAGAGCTGCACTGGTGCAATGGCTCTCAAGCTTGACAATATTGGGCAGTGCAGAAGAATGCAGTCATTTGAGCTGCGCTTTCCTCCCAGACGTGCTGAAGCTGGGATTGACGTTGCAATCTCTTGCAGGTGGGAGACATCGTGTGCATCATCGAGATGCCGCCTCAGGAGCTGAGCCCCCGCTGGAGAGGCAAGCATGGCTTTCAGGTAGGCACAAGCTTCAGACATGAGAGCGCAACTTCGGTCGAGGCAGGAATCTCAGCTTAGAGCTGCCCTGCCTGCACAGCATGGCTCCACATGGAAAATGGTTTCCTTGTGCTGGTGTCAGAGGACTTTCCCTTTTGCCGTGGGCTTAGGCCAGAGCTGAAAGTTGGTCTTTGTAGGAAACTGCCTCCTCAATTATCTTAGAAAGAAGAGCCCTCACAACATGCATCAGGTCACGGCCACTGAACCGCACCTTTGGAAATGCAGCAGCTAGGACACGTGTTTCAGTGTCTCTGAGCACTTGTGCTTGCACCCATGCAGAAGGTGAAGTCAGTGTCTTTTAGGAAGTTGCTGCCTGTCAGCTGAGATGAGGCAGGGTAACAGAGCCTCTGCGTGCTCGCTGCTGCTGCTGGCTGCAGAACGCTGGGTAGCTCAGAGCTGGGGATGGCAGCTGCATCTCAGTCAGCAAGCAGAAAGTTCATAGGCTGTGCTAACTCAGATCTAGCTGCATCAGTCTATCATAATATATAGCTTCTGTATGAAGTCTTTCCCTTCGGGCACGCTTGAGATTTAGGGGTGCATAGCATACTTGTCCTTTCCCCGCTCCATACACAGTTTTATGGATATTTGCCTGCAAATTTTGAATAATTATTAATTTTAAGCAGGCCATTTTTTTGTTGGATTGTCTTACGGAGCATCCGGCAGGCACGTTATGAGGAAAATGTGTGATGTTTGAACAGTTCAGGCCTGAGAAACGCTGCCTTCAGCATCGCACCTCTCTTCTTCTTGTTACAGGTTGGATTTTTCCCTGGTGAGTGTGTGGAGCTCATTAACGGAAAAATCCCGGAGTCTCTCATCAATTCAGTGCCAAAGCCAGGTACGGATGATACATTTGATGGTGCAGGGAAGCAAAATGGAGTCTTTTTTGGGTGTGTTCCGTGTTTAATACCTCCCTTATCCTTCCCACCTTATCCTCTGTGCTGATGATCCTTCCTGCATAGCACGGGGCGTATGGCTGGTGTTTTGTAGGCAGTGAGAATGAGGGAAGGCAAAGGCAGTTCTCCTGCAAGTCAGTACGAGGCTGAGAACAGCCAGCGTCCCTGGTGGACAGATAGAGTTCTGGCTGTGCTAGTGACATGCTTGATCAGAACGTGGCTTTTCAAGAGGGTCCTTAATCCCCAGGTTGAGCAAGCTAAGCAAGAGGAGTGCATTAAACTCCATCAGAACGTGCAGAGATTTGGCCCAGTCCTCCTGTGTTTATGACTGGAGTTGGGGAAATCCTAGAATCCTTGTAGAATGGCTTGGGATGGAAGGGAGCTCAAGGATCATCAAGCTCCAAGCCCCCTGCCTCAAGCTGGGCTGCCAGCCAAGCTCCACGTTTAATGTGGGACTGGACCAGGCTGCCCAGGGCCCCATCCAGTCTGGCCTTGGACTCTTCCAGGGTTGGGGAAAATCCATTTTTGTACGCACTTGCTCATCATGTTCTTCCCGTTTTGACGTGCTCTGCAGAATGTGTTGTGCTCGGCCTTGTCCAACGGAGCCCAAGCCTAAAACGAACTGGTTTCTTCCTTTTGTTGTGCAGTGCCAAAGAAGCGCGGCAAGCTCCTCACCTTCCTTTGTTCCGTGGCAAAGGCCCGCCCAAAGCAACGGAAAGAGCGGGAGGTGGAGAAGGAGAGGGTGTTCGGCCGTGACCTGGGAGAGCATCTTCTCCACTCTGGTCGTGATGGTAAGGGAGAGCCCATTCCTAAGAGCTTCCCTGTTTGGGAACCTAAAGATGAAAGGGAGATGGTTTCTAGCAAGGGGCAGGTTGATACCAGCGGAGAAACGGGGAATGGGAGTTGACGACTGAAAGATAAACTGAGTAGGTGATGGCTGCAAGGTAAATGCTCCTAAGGGACAAGCACATTTGTATTTGCTTAAAGCAAAGCCTGTAAGCCAATCCCCTGGTAGCCTGAAAAGAAAGGAAGCCTTTTGGCCAAAGAGAGTGTTCTGCATCAGTTTCCCAGCTCCTTCTGGGCGTGAGATTTTCCACCTCCGTTCCCGTGGGAGCTGTGATGGGACTTGCAATGTCTGCAGCTTCCCTGGAATTACTTTCTCCAGGCTGATTCCTAGGTCCTGGCATTTCTTGAACACAAAGAACACATCTCTGTCCAGTTTCCTCACCAGCTCCTGCAGAGGCGTCTCTGACAGCTTTCCCCTTCAAGGAAGAACTAAGCAGTAGCCTGGCTGGGCTTAGTGGATAGGATGTGACGGGAGCGCAGCCTGAGCCAGGACTTGAATAAGGAGCTCCAGTAACCGCCGGCACGTGTTCTTTAGTCCCCCAGGTCCTCCAGAGCTGCGCCGAGTTCATCGAGCAGCATGGCATGGTGCAGGGGATATACCGCCTGTCCGGCGTCGCGTCCAATGTCCAGAGACTGCGGTAAGAGTGCTGTGACTGACAGACACAGCTGCCAGCAGGGGCACGTGCCCTGTTGCGGGCGTTC